GGCCTAATATGCTAATGAGTTTCTGCTGGTGGGTGTGGCCTAATATGCTAATGAGTTTCTGCTGGTGGGTGTGGCCTAATATGCTAATGAGTTCCTGGTGGACTTTTTCTACAAAAAAAGCCCTGATTTTATGACTAGAGTTCTGTGTATGCGCTTTTGGAAAGTGAAGTGTGGAAGAGCTATGAAGAGAGTCTGTGTAACTCTAAAAGTTTTGTGAGAGAGTCTGTATGGCAAAGAAACAAGGAGTGTCTAAACTGTGTGGTTAGACCAATGTTTTATCCTGTGTGCCGAAGACAAAGAGCTTAGCCAGTGTGGCCACATATAAGAGAGAGAAGCCTGTCAGCGTGGAATTTTGGTGTCTGAGAGACTGTGTGTGACACCTTGCCAGTTATAGTTACAAGTTCCTTTTCCCAGAAACAGTTCAAGGTAACCAGAAACCTATTTTGTTCTTTATTCAATAAATCAGTTTTTGTTTGAACATATCTCAGAAATCAGTACAGTTCTTCCTCAGGGCCACATAGTCCTCTGAAGTGGCCAGACCCTGGGTCATATCACCAAAAGAGAGAGAAATTGGAATTTTTAATTACTGGGGGCAGCAGAAAACTACCAAGTTTATACACACCGAGGGTGGTTTAAAGGAAAAACAGTCTCCCCAAATAGCAAGAGTGCCACAAAACTAGTTTACCGTAAGTGGCCTGAACAGACTAGCCTGATCTTGTCAGCAGTGTTCCCTCTAAGTGGAGTTAGTGTGAGCTAGCTCACAGTTTTTTAGCCTCCGGCTCACACATTTCTGTCTCAGCTCAGGAAGGAGGGCTCCAGAGCAAACTAATTTATGCAGCAGCCAAATCACCTGCTCACAACTTTAACGCCGGTAGCTCACAAAGTAGAATTGTTGCTCACAAGATTCCACAGCTTAGAGGGAACATTGCTTGTCAGAGCCTGGAAGCTGAGCAAGGTAAGCCCTGGTTAGTAGTTAGACGGAAGACCTCCAAGGAAGTCGGGGGTTGCTACACAGAGGCAGGCGATGGCAAACCCACCTCTGAATACTCCTTGCCTTGAAATCTCTGTAGCCCAGGGCCGGAAGCAGCCCATCGAGGGCTCTTACCCAGCCCACGAGCAACTGGTATGTATGGAAATGTAAGGTACCCCCCCTTTTTATGGTATCGCATGGGCAAAAACCTAGTCTTGCATATGATTAAATACATTTATTGGGGCTTTTGTGGGTCCCCCCAGTAAATCAGTTGCTTTCACTGCTAGGAGTCGATTGCTTTTGCTTGTATTTTGAATAAATAATACTGTCAATTGGGTTTGCCTGTGTCCTTTACAAAGTTTCTATCTCCGGTACCTGGCGTTACATTTCTTGGCACAGATGGTCCAGCCCGACAAAGTGACATCGATGTCAGATCTGGCCCTCGTAACAAATGAGTTTGACACCTTTGCTCTATAAGGTGGTCATAAGGCGGCTGCGACTGGATGGCATTTTCCACCGGCAGAATTTGGAACAGGGCCTTGCCCTGACCTGGACAGGCCAGACTAGCCCAGTCTCATCAGATCTCAGAGGCTAAGCAGGGTCAGACTAGGTTACTGCTTGGATGGACGACCAGTGAGGAAGGCCAGAGCCGCCCGCTACACAGAGCCAGCACTGGCAAACCACTTCTGCTCACCTTGAAGACCCCATAAGCGTTTGCCATGAGTATGTTGTGACTTGATGACAATTAATCATTGTTAGACCATAAGGGGTTTTCCTGAAAGCAAAAAAACACACAAATGGCACAGTATCATGCCTGCCCTTGACTCAGCCCCAGAGCCAGCTCCTGACAGCCTAAGAGGGGAGGATTCAGTGCCTTTAAGAGCTGGAGAAGCATCGGGATCTGCACCTACTGTAAGTACTGAGGAGGATACACAGCAAGCTGAGTCAACTACAGGACGGTTTGCACCTGGGATTGAGCAGGCCATAAGCAGCTCACCACCTGCATCTCCCCCACCTGTAAGTAGGCTTAGGGATCAGAGACGTCAGGAGCTGGCTAGCCGACGAAAAGAAGCACGTTCAAGAGGGCGGAGATCCTTGAGCCCTGAGTTTTAACAGCAGCCAGGACCTCGCACAAAGGTGCTAATGAGTTAATGGGCCAGAGCACTATTTAGTAGGGCCGCTGGCCATGAGCAATTTGTGCTGGCAACCTCCTTCGTAGAACCAGAAGCTCTACACCTTGATTCCTGTTTGACTCTGTGGCTTTTGGACTCGGCTTGTGTTTGGACTGCTCTGGCTCCTGACTTCCAGCTTTGAACCTGACCACGCCCTCAGCTTTGCTCCCTGTATTCTGACCTCTGGTAATGTTTGACTACGGCTTTGTCTGGTGTTTTGGGACTTGTTTAATGCTCTGCTGACTGCTCTCCCGGCTGACCTTTGGACTTGTATTGTGACTCCCCCTGTCTGCCTGCCTCCCTGGCTCTACCGTGACACACAACACTGGAGTTAGCACACCTTTGTTTTATAAGACAAAAGTTCGAAAGCAAGAAATTGCAAGTAGATAAATAGGTACCACTTCAGTGGGAAGGTAACAGCGTTCCATGCACCTTGGTGTTTAGTCATGCCGGCCACATGACCACGGAAACGTCTTTGGTCAATGCTGGCTCTTTGGCTTTGAAACGGAGATGAGCACCGCAATCCTAGAGTCGGATTCGACTGGCTTTCGAGCAAGGGAATCTTTACCTTTACTTTTACAAGCTACCTAAAAAATGTATATGTTTTGCTTTGAAGAGCTGTTGTTAAATTTGATTGTGATCAAAGTCAAACTGAATTTTCAGGCCCGTCTTTTTCTTGCCGTTTTCAGATCCCTTGAAGAGAAAAGGAGTGGAACTTTTTGTTGGAAACCTCCCTCGGGATATCACAGAGGTGTGGCGTCTCTCCTTTTTGCATTTGGTTTTCTTTGCTTTCGTCTGTGGAGAACTGCACGACAACAGACACTTCCGCTCTTGACTCTGTAGCACTGTTTGAGGGGTGGAGGGGGATGAAGGAGAATCGTGAGTCCCAACGAGGGCTGTGGTGAACTGGAACGAAAACGTCAGGTCCTTCGAATGAAGTCTTGAGGAAGAAGCCTCAAAGGGGCCAGGAGTCAGGTTGATGGCTCTGGGCTGGGAAATAACCTGGTGGTTTTGGGGGTGAACTCTGAGGAGGGCAGGGTTTGGGGAGGGACTACAGTGGGGGTATGTTGCCGTAGAGTTCCAGGTGGTCTGATCACCGTCAGCTGGAGATCAGGCGTAATCCCAGGAGATCAGCAGCCACCCCCTGAAGGTTGGGAAACCAGAGAGATCACGGTATAAGTGAGTAGAAAACCGGTCGATGAGACAACCGTGATGTATTTACGAAGGAAACATCACCCCCTTTTTTTTAGATTTTCCCAAAAAAAACATAAAAATAATATTGATCTATTTTTGAAAATCTTAAAAAAAAAAAAGAGTGACATTTCCTTCGTAAATACATAACAGTTGTGTCATTGACTATTTTCTGCCACTGGGAGGTTGGCAACCCTAGAGTGACGTTTGGGTGGGCAGGGAAGGGGATGATACCTTGTGTTACCAGAGCCTCCCCGGTAGCAATTTGGGGTGAAACCTCTCTTCGGGTTTCCATTGCAGGTGGAGCTCGCGGTCTTGTTCAAGGACTTTGGCCTGAAGGCAGTCAGGATACGGCAGAACTCCTCTGCAAAAAGGTACCCTGGGGCTTTCCCTCGTTCGCCCAGGCAAACCGGGCTTCCGGCTCGCCTTCTCTCAGGAAGTTATATTTATTTATTTAGGCATTTTTACCCCGCCCTCCCCGCGAGCGGGCTCAGGGCGGCTTACAAGGGGCATGAGCCCATACATAAGACCAGATAAAACAGTAAAACCACATAATAATACCAATAACAATAATAAAGGGCTTTCTGTGAACAAGACGGTCTTGAGTGGTATTGATGGCAACCTCAATCCTCCCCATTGGGTGGCACTGTCCAGCAGATAGTTCAAGCCAATCCCACATTGTCAGTGCCCTGCAATTTATGGCGGAACTTCCAAGGGCGATTCCTCATCCCAATGGTATCGCCTCCATTTAGTCAGGGAGCGAAAAGAGAATCTCAAAGTCAGGCCCCTTTATTAAGCACAGTGCAATTAGACATTCAGGAGAACGCCAGGAGGCAGGGGAGTCACGATGTCTCTCTCCCCTCCGCCTAATTAAAATTACCCCCCTTCTTTGCTTATACACTCCAAATAGCTAATTTTGTTGGCAGTGTGAAAAGTATGCAGACGGAGAGTGATTTCAGCTAAGCATACCTTTATTTAGTTCAGGACAAAGACAACTACCCGGCTCGCAGGCCGGCTTATATTCCCTCTGAGAACCCCACCACCAAACACACACCCCACTCCCGATTGGCTATTTACAGTAACCAAGAGACCTATTGGCCTCTTGGCCAGGACCTAGCCCTTTCATTGGGCCTGGCTAGGATCCTATGTGCCCATTGTCTTTAGGTCTGAAGCTTTAGGTATTTGTGCCTGGACAAGTCCAGGCATGTCCGGCCCTGTCAGGGCCTGATACACTACACAGTGCAAAGCAGGTGAGGGGGGGGACATTAAGTTGATTGTGGGCAGACCCCAGTGGAGCGGACCGGACCGTTCTTTAGGAGCCACTCGGCTTGTGTGTGGCTACTAACTGGTGTGGGCTAACCGGGTGTTGGTGCTGCTGGCCAGGGGTGAGGGAGCTGAGGCTTGGCTCAGAATGTCCCGAGTCTCTGGCGCAACAGCGTGCTGGGAACTTTCACCGTAAGCAAAAACGGGCAGGCCGCCCCCCCGGTGTGAAAATTATTTATTAAAAACATGTCCACCCCACCGTTCCTCATGGATCAGGACAGGTGACAATGCACGATCAGTGCGCCACACAATGCCGAGTCAATGCATTGTACAATACATGATCAAGTGCATCACATTTATTTTTATTCATTTTATTGGATTTATGAATTGCCCACCCTGCAAACAGGCTCTGGGCGATTTACAGCCTTATTAACTTTTAAAATATGGTTGACGTATAATTAAAATGATCCACAGCAGAACAATAAATTATAAATTAAAACCAATCCAAGGTGGCGTAATAGTCCACCTTTGCCGGCCAGGCCGCTGTCCCGCAGGGCAGGGTATGGTGGGGGCCACAGAAGAAAAAGCCTGTAATGATTCCTTGTGTGTGTGTGTGTGTGTGTGTCTCTTTAAAAGTTTGGTTGCATGGCGGTGGTAGATAGACTAGAGTGGTGGAGAGAGGCAAGTGTGGTATGATTGATGGTTGACAGAGAGGGGGAGGGGTTTTGGAAGTGAATCTGGGTGGATGAGTATGTGAGTCAGTCAGTAGTTTCAGTTACAAGTTGACAGTTGATGTAGACAAGCAGTTCTGTGTTGAAGCAGAGAAGCTGACAGCTGCAGTTGTTCAGTGAGAAAGATAAAGAGAGCTGAAAGCTGAGTGTATAGAAAAAAGTAAAGTAAAGTTTAAGTGAAGAAAAGTTAAAGGAAAGTCTGAGTGTCATAACAAACTGGAGTGAAACAGTGAACCTATATGGCATTGAGATAAACAAGTGTTACAAAGTTACATGAAAAGATCCCTGTCAGTGAGGGAGAAGATTGTGTGTGATACCAAAGCAATTGTTCATCATTTACACATTACTAGTTACATTGTACCACCCTCTTATTTAGTATTTATTTCAATAAATCCTCTTTTATTCAAGTTTATACCAGCTCTGAATGAAATACTTCCCAGGACCACATAGTTCCTTGTAAGCTTTAAACTCGGTCTACCAATCTAGTAAGAGCAAAAGTAAACGCATAAAGGTTTGGAGATCCTTAAAATTTCCCGGTGGCAGCAGAATCTACCCGGTTAAACAAAATAAAGAGAACTTTTAAAGTGAAACTAGTCCTTCCCAATAAGGAGGACGTCACAGTGCCCATCCTAACCTCCCGTCGCTACCCTCAACTGAAAGCCTGGTGGAACATCTCTGCCTTACAGGCCCTGCAGAATTGCATCTAATCCCGCAGGGCCCTGATGTTATTCGTCAGAGAGTTCCACCGGGTCGGGGCCAGGACCGAAAAGGCCCTGGCCCTACTCAAGGACAGCCGGACTTCCCTAGGGCTGGGGATCACCAGCAAGCATAGACCGGGTTCGACACGCGAGTAGTGATCAGCTCGTGGTTTATTGTGAATCAGTTCTAGCTGCAAGACAAGTCCAGCAGGGCCAAAGCCCTGCTTATAATCCCGTCAAACGGCACACCCCAAACACACCCACTCCCAACAATATTTTCACACTAATCTCATCCCGATAGGTGGCTGCTAGGATCCTGCTGGTCTATTGTATTTATCAACAAGTAACAAAACAACGCAGCACACAATACAAAATGGCAAGTAACAGCAAAACAACTGTGCGCTGAAATACCCGCAAGAGAAAATGTACAAAAAGAGACTTCAGCAAAGTGAAACACATATGTAATCAGCAATAAATCTATATGTAAAGTCCATCATAGGAAATATAGAAGTCCACAGAATGCATCAAGTCCAAAGTAGAAATTCAACACTTTTCCTAGGTAGTATACAGTGTTTCAGACTTCTGGTCCTTCCTCAGGAACAAAGATCCACAATAGAAAGTCTCATTCCAATATCTTTACAAGACAATATTGTTCAGTTTCTTTATGGGCCAGGTCTCCTAAGCTTGAAAGTGCACCTCAAGCTTGCTACTATGTAGAACAGGACCAAAAATTCTGTGGGCGTCTATATTTCCTATGATGGACTTTATGTACAGATTTATTGCTGATTACATATGCGTTTCACTTTGCTGAAGTCTCTTTTTGTACATTGACTATTGCGGGTATTTCAGCACACAGTTGTTTTGCTGTTACTTGCCCTGTTGTATTTATCCCCAAGCTCACCTTCATTCTGGCAGGCCTCGGTTTCAGGGAAACCATATCAGTACTTAACATCAGCTGATCTCAGCATTCTTCTGTATTCATAGTCAATGCATCATACAATACATAACCAGTGCGTCATAGTCCGTGCATCATACAGTACATAATCCGTGTATCGCATAATACATAATCACTGCATCATACAACACTGAAGCCCCGAATCTTCCCCCACCCCAACCTTGTAAAATCTAACAATGTGCAATAAAATGCCTGCAGCCCATGCACAGTTAGAAGCTTGTGATGCCAGTGCTTCCTGAAGGTTTCCAAGGACAGTGCAGTGAAAATGTGAAGGGTTACCTGCCCTCAGAGGAGTGCCGGCCACATGACCACGGAAACGTCTTCGGACAGCGCTGGCTCTTCGGCTTTGAAACGGAGATGAGCACCGCAACCATAGAGTCGGATTTGACTGGCTTTCGAGCAAGGGAACCTTTACCTTTACCTTTGCACTTAACCACTACACCAAAGAGCCAGTTTGGTGTAGTGGTTAAGTGCACGGACTCTAATCTGGGAGAACCGGGTTGGATTCCCCACGCCTCCACTTGCACCTGGCTGGATGACCTTGGGCAAGCCTAGTTCTGATAAGAGCTGTCCTTGGGGAAAAAAGAGCAGTTTCTGTCAAGAGCTCTCTCAGCCCCGCCTACCTTACAGGGTGTCAGTTGTGGGAAGGGGAAGGAGTTTGTAAGCCGCTTTGGGTAGTGAAGGGCGGGGTATAAATCCAATCTCTTCTTCTTCTGCGTGTGTCTCCTGCAAGCACTGCCAGCCAGCACAGAGAGCTGTTGAGTCAGATAGTCTGGTTCGGTAAATGATGGCTTCCTGTGCTCGCTTGACTTGCTTTTGAAGTCCGGTGGTGGCGGTAGAAGAGGTTTCAGCTGCAATGATTCACGGTGCTGGTTTTGACACTTAAACCACTAATTGGATTTGGGTCCCAAGAATCTTGAGGAATGGCCTTTCCCCCCCACAAAACCCCCCATTGTAAACCAGCCAGTAAGACCCTATGCTGCATTCTTTCCCTTGTGAGTTGTAAAGTTTCCACTTGCCAGCAGGGCCATTTGGCCTGGGCCTCACATTTGGGGGGGGGGGGGGGCCCCTCAAATTTACACTTTTGATGTTAAATCACGTTAAATAAAAATGGGAACATTCATTACAAAGTCTTACAATATTCTTTATGTTACTGTGTTAAATGTAAAACATGCAAAATATAATACTACTAATTTTGTATCCTTGTTTTCTCACTTCGTTTTTTTTAATTTACTGGGGCGGGGGCCCCCTTAAAAATGGAAGTGGCCTGGGGCCTCTCTTGACGCCAGGAGCTAGGGTTGCCAAGTGGAACTTACCTTGGCGGCGGGGGTGTGCGCGTGCCGCACACATGTCACCAGGAAGTGACGTTATGATGCCGGGCACGCTGGGGGCGGGGCCACGACCATACAAGGGAAGACCATAGAGTTTTCCCTTGTATGGCCGTGGCCCCGCCCCCAGGGTGCCCAGCGTGCCCACGTCACTTCCGGGTGACGCGCACGTCGGGGAGGAGTTCCCCCCGGGGCCCGATTCGGCGGGGCCGGGGGACCAGACTCTGGGGCGGGGGGACTTGGGATCCCTACCAGAAGCAGACCTTTTCCGTGGGGCTCCAGACCAGAAAGAAATTATGCATGGGTGTTGGAGGGACAGTGGCTCAGTGGTAGAGCCTCTGCTTGGCATGCAGAAGGTCCCAGGTTCAATCCCCGGCAGCGCCAGTCGAAAGGACCAGACAGTAGGTGATGGGAAAAGACCTCTGCCTGAGACCCCTGGAGAGTAGACAAGACTGACCTTGATGGATTAAGGGTCTGATTCAGTGTAAGGCAACTTCATTTGCGTTAGTGGAGTGTAATCTTGTGAGGGGCAGTGCTTCCACAGCTGGAGCTTTACGCTAAATCTGTTACTGTACTCCCTCAGGACTGGTCTGTAAATATGCTGTGGAAAGGTCAGAATAGAAGGGTTTGCGGAGGTTAACCGTCTGTCTTTCTTCTGCCCCTGCTTCAGTTTCGCATTTCTTGAAATGGCGTCCCCTGAGGCAGTACAGCTTGCCGTGCAGACGCGGAATGGGGTGATGGTGAAAGGACAGCGGATGGTTGTGGCTGTTTCCGAGGAGAGGAGAAGTCCCGAGTACAGAAAGAACCACACGGAGATGCCGGTAATTATAGGGATTTAAGAGCAGCCCAACCGGGTTAGACCAAAGGTCCCTCAACTCCAGCATCCTCTGCTGTTTCCTCCGGTGGACAGCCAGATATCCCCAGAAGGCGTACAGGCAGGGCGCAGAAGCCAAAGTCTGTTGTTTTCTCCTCCCACCCCGGTATTCAGAGGTATAGTGCCTCTGGACATGGAGGTTCCATTTCTCTGTCAGTGCTGACAGCCATCAAGGGGACGTTTCCTCCATGAATTTGTATGAATCTCTTTTAAAAGCCACCTATGGCAGTATCCTCTCCTGTGTCCTGTGGCAGGGAGTTCCACAAGGCTTGCTTTCACACGCATCGGATAATGCATTCTCAGTGCACTTCAGCAACCATTTGCAACGAGATTTTTTGTTTTTGCGCGGGAAAATCCAGTCGCAAATGACAGCTTGAGTCAATTGCGTCCTGTGAGGAAAAGCGCTTTGTTTTATTTCTTCCACGTTGATCTTCCGTCAGCTTTACAAAGCGCGCCCCCCCCGGTTTAGTATTACGGGATGAGGAGAGAAGGTTCTTTGTCCTCTTCTCTCGAGAGCGAGTGTCGTGTCCCGTCGTGGTTAAGAGCAGCAGACTCTGATCTGGGGAGCAGGATTTTATTTCCCCACTCCTCCTCCACATGAAGCCTGCTGGGGGACCTTTGGCCAGTCAGCGTTCTCGCACAGCCAGTGTCCCCTCTGAGCTGAGTTAGTGTGAGCCAGCTCACAGTCTTTCAGCCTCTGACTCACCCATTTTTGTCTTCGCTCAGGAAGGATTTGGCCGCAGTCAGATCACTCGCTCACAACTTTAATGCCAGGAGCTCACCAAATAGAATTTTGGCTTACAAGACTCCGCGGCTTAGCTTGCTCACAACTCTCTCACCTGCCTCACAAGGGGGCTGGAGTGGGAAGAGGAAGGGAAGTAACTTTCTAAGAAACGTTGAAATTTACCTTTCTAAAAGTTTGCATCAATTTCTGTAGTGTTTTATAAGATTACGTGCAGTTTTCATCAATATTTAAAAAATAGCCAGTCCTGTTTATCTTTATATTTTTGCCTTTTGGCTGATGATAAAACTCCATTTCCCCCCCTTTTTAGGATTTGGAGCCAGTCCCTGATGGATTGCCCGTAGGCAATGGTGGTATGTTACATATGGGTTGGGCTTTTTTACAATTTCTCAACATTTCTTCTTGCTTGAATTATACACCTACCTGTGTTTGATGGGGTGTGAAATCTCAGCATATTTAGAAAAACAATCCGGTTCAGACTTTATCTGGGGATACCTGGAGGGTTATGGAGCTGCGGTGGCTCAAGTGGTTAAGGCGCTGAACTGCAGGCTGTGGAAGGTCAGTAGTTCAGCGGTTCAAGACCCGGGTGCCGCAAGACAGGGTGAGCTCCTGTCTCTAGTTCCAGCTCCTGCCAACCTAGCAGTTCGAAAGCAAGAAATTGCAAGTAGATAAATAGGGACCACTTCAGTGGGAAGGTAACAGCGTTCCGTGCGCCTTGGTGTTTAGTCATGCTGGCCACATGACCACGGAAACGTCTTCGGACAGCGTTGGCTCTTTGGCTTTGAAAAGGAGATGAGCACCGCAACCCTAGAGTCGGATTCGACTGGCTTTCGAGCAAGGGAACCTTTACCTTTACCTTTACCTGGAGGGTTGCCAAGGGTTTGTTGTTGTTCAGTGCCAAGACTCTAATCTGGGAGAACTGGGTTCGATTCCCCACTCCTCCACTTGCACCTTCTGGATGGCCTTGGGCAAGCCATAGTTCTGACAAGAGCTGTCCTTGAAAGGGCAGTCCTTGAGAGAGCTCTCTCAGCCCCACCTACCTCGCAGGGTGTCTGTTGTGGGGAGGGGAAGGGAAAGGAGTTTGTAAGCCGCTCTGAGACTCCGAGTGAAGGGCGGGGTATAAATCCAATCTCCTCTTCTCTCTTTCTCTCTTCTACTCTGAGGCAAACCCCTCCTCCCCACCTCCATTGGGATCATGTGAAAATGGAGCCCACTTGGTTTTCCAGGGGTGGGAGCAGAGACTCTGTGCCTGGCAGGAAGGGGATGGCATCGGCTTCCCCTTCTCTCTAAGAGTGGGAGCGCCATAGGAGTTGCCATTGCCTGCAGTCACTTTGCTTCCAGGTTACCCCAGGGGACACTAGGCAGGAGGGGCACTGATAAGTAGGGATGGGCACAACCCACATTTTTGCCATTCGGTTTGTGACTGAACCATGAACTGATACGTTGCTTTGTGAACCAAACCGATTCTTATCAGTTCATGAACTCGGCTTTCTGCTCCCCACCACCTTTTGCGAAGATGGTTTCAGGTGGGTGGCCTTGTCAGTCTGCAGTAGAAGAGCAGAGTTTTGTGTCAAATCAAATTCCAATTCAAAACCTTTAATGGCATCTAATGGTAAATCAGAATTAGATACAGACAGGGTCTAAGAGGAATAAAATCGAATTAAAAAGGACAATCTAAAAGGGTAAATTAGAATTAGATACAGACAGGGTCTAAGATAAATAAAATCGAATAAAAAGTACAGTCTAAAAGGGTAAATTAGAAATACACAGGGTCTAAGATGAATAAAATCGAATAAAAAGTACAGTCTAAAAGGGTAAATTAGAATTAGATACAGACAGGGTCTAAGATGAATAAAATCAAATAAAAAAGTACAGTCTAAAAGGGTAAATTAGAATTAGATACAGACAGGGTCTAAGATAAAATTGAATTAAAAAGGGCAGTCTAAAAGGGTAAATCAGAATTAGATACAGACAGAGTCTAAGATGAATAAAATCGAACAAAAAGGACAGTCTAAAAGGGTAAATTAGAATTAGATACAGACAGGGTCTATGATAAATAAAATCGAATTAAAAAGTACAGTCTAAAAGGGTAAATTAGAATTAGATACAGACAGGGTCTATGATAAATAAAATCGAATTAAAAAGTACAGTCTAAAAGGGTAAATTAGAAAGATACAGACAGGGTCTAAGATGAATAAAATCGAATAAAAAGTACAATCTAAAAGGGTAAATTAGAATTAGATACAGACAGGGTCTAAGATGAATAAAATCGAATAATAAAGTACAGTCTAAAAGGGTAAATTAGAATTAGATACAGACAGGGTCTAAGATGAATAAAATCAAATAAAAAGTACAATCTAAAGGGATAATTAGAGTAATATGAAGAAAACAGTGACCTAGTCTGCTTCTAGCATTTGCTCCGCTGTTTTACCAAAGCCACGCTGGTACAGAAATTCCCCTCTACATTGCATGCCGCTTTCACTTTGATTGATTGTCATATTTTATGGCAGTGTCCAGACTGCGTGCTGCTTTCACTTTGTTTGATCTCTTGGTTTTATGGTAGCCGTCTGCATAGATTTATGGCTGTTTTATGGCCGTTCAGGGGTGACTCCAGTCAGTACCACGTTGGCCCGGGGTATTTGAATGTGGTTTTGAGCCGCATCTTTTTCTGTTCCAGTGTGGGTTTGGTAAAACAGCAGAGCCAATGCTAGATGCCGATTGGGCCAATGTCTAAAAGCAAAATCAGACAGTTATTCATTGGCTTTACCTGGAAAAGGATAACCCTTGTGGAGTACTATAGCCAAGTACTCAGCCACTAATTCCGTCAATCGAGAGGATTTATCAGCAAGTAAAGAGATCTGAGTCGAGTAGCACCTTGAAGGACCCAACAAGATTTTTAGGGTATGAGCTTTCGAGAGTGAAAGGTCCCTTCGTCAGACGCAAGCAGGAACAGAAATCCCTGAGCCCTTCTCAGTCAGGTGTTGCAGAGAAGAGTGTCAGGATGCGGAGGTACAGTGCAAAGTGTGATCCGTTTGATTAAACGGGAGAAATGGCTTAGGGACAAAAATTAGGATCTGTAGTGAGAGAAGAATCTTGTTTCCCTGTTTAGCCCTGGTGGGTCCATTGTTCTGCACTGGCGTTCATGAGTTCCTTCACAGCTCAAGGGGTTTCCATCCCTGTCGCTTCTCGGCCTTTTGCCTGGGAAAGCATTCTCTATAAAGTCATCTGTTCTTATCAGTTCAATATCTGATACATCCTCTGTTTGAGGACTATATGTTAAGAGAGCCAGTTTGAGGTAGTGGCTAGGAGGGCGGACTCTAATCTTGGAGAGCCGGGCTTGATTCCCCACTCCTCCACATGCAGCTGCTGGTGTGACCTTGGGCCAGTCACAAGTTCTCTCAGAGCTGTTCTCCCAAGGGCAGTCCTCGAGAGAGCTCTCTCAGCCCCACCTGCCTCACAAGGGTGTCTGTTGTGGGGAGAAGAAGGGAAGGAGATTTTAAGCCACTCTGAGACTCCTTTGGGTAGTGAAGGGCGGGGTATAAGTCCAATCTCTTCTCCTCCTCGAGAGCCAGTTTGGTGTAGTGGTGAAGTGCACGGACTCTAATCTGGGAGAACCGGGTTTGATTCCCCACTCCTCCACTTGCACCTGCTGATGTGACCTTGGGTCAGTCACAAGCTCTGGCACAGCTGTTCCTGAAAGGGCAGTTTCTGTCAGAGTTCTCTCAGCCCCACCCACCTCACAGGGTGTCTGTTGTGGGGAGGGGAAGGGAAAGGAGTTTGTAAGCCGCTCTGAGACTCCAAGTGAAGGGCCGGGTATAAATCCAATCTCCTCCTCCTCCTCCTCCTTCTCTTCTTCTACTTGTAACTGACGAGGCGAGCTTTGAGTCTCAAAAGCTCCTACCTTGAGCATCTTGTTGGTCTCTGAGGTGCTGCTGGACTTGAACCTTGCCCCTTCCTCTGGCAGAGGTTCCTTGCAGTGGGGGAAAGCAACACCATTAAGGGTATGGCTCTGCAGGATCCAACCCTCAGTAGAAATTCAGATTCACCGAGGTGGAGGGATTTCCTGGCTGCGTGAGAGCAAGGGTGGGGCAAACAAGATACCCCGGTGGAACTCCCAAGCTGAGCAGGATGGAGGATAGCTGCCCCTAACATCCATTGTCAGATAGCCCTGCATCCAAACATGGAGGCTCTGTTTTTTTTTTAATTTATTTTTGAATTTACATTTTGTATTAAGTATATCAGTCAAAACTCAAAACATAAATTCATTATTCATCTTATCGACATCCTCATTTTCCATTTTTAACAATCATGAAACAAAACAAAAACATTCATCTGAGGCTACTATTACAACAACCAAAATTTTTTCATTCTTCTAGTCCCTCCTCTTTTCCTATGCCCCTATCTTACCCGTTTATAAATCCCATCCAACTTTCCCATAATTTATAAATACTCATAATCCCACTCAAAACCTACAGTTCATTCTAACTCGCATAATACTATTTCCCTGCATCTTCTTCTGTACCTAAAACGAAAAGTTGAAAGGGTTGCCTCCGATTATGGGTGCTATAGAGAAGCACTCTACAGCGAGAGAGGAAGCCACCTCTCTCCCTATATGCAGAGGTCTTGGGGGGGAGGGAGACAGGCTTCGCCTCCTTGCTACACCCTTTCATGACAATACAAACTCTAAACTTCAAATTAGACAATTCTAATTTGCTTAATTTGAAGGAGCTGCGGTGGCTCAAGTGGTTAAGACTCTGAACTGCAGGCTGTGGAAGGACAGTAGTTCACCAGTTCGAGACCCGAGTGTGCCGCATGACGGAGTGAGCTCCCGTCTCTAGTTCCAGCTCCTGCCAACCTAGCAGTTTGAAAGCAAGAAATTGCAAGTAGATAAATAGGTACCACTTCAGTGGGAAGGTAACATCGTTCCGTGCGCCTTGGTGTTTAGTCATGCCAGCCACACGACCACGGAAACTTCTTCGGACAGCGCTGGCTCTTCGGCTTTGAAACGGAGATGAGCACCGCAACCCTAGAGTCGGACTCGACTGGCTTTCGAGCAAGGGAACCTTTACCTTTACCTTTAATTTGCTTAAACATGGTTGGAGATACAGTCTACTCTTATACTAATACTCGTTGCTTACAAATGTTTCCTCTTACTGACACTATATCCTAACTATCAATACCAGAGTATCTTGTTCCCTTCACTTTTCCTCCTCTTTCAATTTCATAACAGCCTCAACAGGTTTTTTCCCCACATCTCATTATGTGCTGTGAATATTTTATTATTTATATTAACAGCCAAATGTCCAAGTGCTAACCATCTATATGGTATTTCCTTTTCTCTCAATGCCTTTGCCGTTTCACGCAAACTTTGTCTTGCAATCAGCACCTCTGGGATGACGTCAGCGTACAAAAACACGCATGTATCTTCAAAGAGCAAACCCTGTTTTTCTTGAGCTATTTTAAAAAAATTATTTCTTATATTAAACTCTTTGAATTCGATGATAATATCCTGCGGATCTCCTGGGGGGGCTCTCTTTGAAATGTTGATTCGGTAAGCCGAGGTAATTATCTCTTCCGAAGCCTCTGTTACACCCTCCGACCGCAGTGTCTGTAGAAGCCACTTGTTTAATTCCTCCTCAAGATGACCGGTTGCACAAAAGCTGGAGGAAACTCCCCGTAACTTCGCTTTTCTTTCCCTTAGTTTCGTCTCCTGAAGTATAATTCTGTTCTTGGCCCATTTTTCAAACTTTTGTACCTCTCATAAATCATCCGAAACTTTTCTAGCAATCTGAAGTGCAGAGTCTGCCTTCTTCTCTGGTGTTTTTACAGCTGAAGCCAGTTCATCTAGTTTCTGATTTATCGGGTCAATAACACTCTTGACCTGGGCAAATTCCTTTCTTAATTGTCCCACGTCAGAAGACAAAGCCTTTATCTCACTTAATCTCCTCTTTTATTTCTTTTAAGGCCTGTGCAATTGGAGTAGTTTCCTTCATTAATAGTTTAAGAGGTGAATTTTTAGCACCTTTTTGCCTCGGATTCTTCCCTTGGCTGGCATTGATAGTTTTTGTTAAGTTACCTTGTTTTTGAAGAGTAAACGTTGTTTTTCCGTTGGGGGTAGCAGGAGAGTGAACGAGCTGCAGCCGACTGGAAGGACTGCTGCCACACCCCCTGTTTTTATTATTGATTGATTGATTTGTATCCCGCCCTCCCCGCCAAGGCAGGCTCAGGGCGGCTTACAGTGTGTGTGTGTGTATTGAACCAGCGAAATGTGTTAAAACACAGAATTTTAAAAATAAGACCATAGCATATGAAATCATAGGTAGTAATAAGCGATGATGGCATTCTCTCGACATCCAGATGGTCAGCTATTTCCATAATCCAGGTTCTTGCCAGGCTGTGGGTTATTAAGTTGGTGCTGATGTTGGGGGGCCGGGGCAGCACCCTAATCGAAGGCCTGGCGGAAGAGCTCCGTTTTACAGGCCCTGCGGAACTGTAAGAGGTCCCGCAGGGCCCTGATGTCCTCCGGGAGCTCGTTCCACCAGTAAGGGGCCACCACAGAAAAGGCCCTGGCTCTTTAGGGCCTGGGAGGGCCAGATGGTTTTGGGGCCCTGATCTTAGTGCTCTCTGGGGAACATGTGGGGAAAGGGCGGTCCCTTAGGTAAGTAGGTCCCTGACCATATAGGGCTTTTAACTCCCATGCCCCGTAGCCATTGAATCTTGGAGACTCCTAAATGAGCACACCTATTAAGAGCCATGGGTCTTCCTGGGTCAGAGCCAAGGACTATCTGATCTGGGTTTATCAGCCAGATGCCCTTGGGGAGTCTACAGGCATGGTCTGGTGGAGAGAGGCATTCCTGCATTGGGATTATTCCATCTCTGTGCCTGCCTCTCTGGGCAGCGAGGTTATGTTTTGGCTTTTGCCACTAGCAGCCGTTGACCGATCCATTTGCCGGATCAAATGAGTGTAAGCAGATGCTGTTTTAGCCCTTCCGTCTTTCCGCAGACCTTGTTCCAAAACCCGGCGTCCAGACCGTACCACCTCCAACAAAGAAGAACCTTTATGCGATTCCTGTAGAGATGAGGTAAGCAGAAAAAAGAGCACAGGCCGCTCACAACGGCAACATCCGAATGTCACAAAACAGCTATAAGAGGAGCCATCAAATGTCACAAAAAGAGGCACGTGGTGTCATGATTAGAGTGTTGGACTGTGATCCGGGAGACCCAGGTTGGATCCTCGGTCTGCCACGGAAGCTCTCTAGGGGACCTTGGACCAGTTGCGGGCCAGTCTGACACACACTCAGCCTACCGTCTGTTCCACAAGAGGTTCAGATGGAGACAGTGACGGTGTCCATCTGGCTGGAACTCTCAAGTGGGCTCTAATCTGGGAGAACCGGGTTTGATTCCCCACTCCTCCATGTGCAGCTGCTGGGTGACCGTGGGTTAGTCACAAGTTCTCTCAGAGCTGTTCTCTCAAGGTCAGTCCTCTAAAGAGTTCTCTCAGCCCCACCTGCCTCACAGAGTGTCTTTTGTGGGGAGGGGAAGGGAAAGGAGATTGTAAGCCACTCTGGGACTCCTATGGGTAGGGAAGAGTGGGGTATAAATCCGATCTCCTCTTCTTCTCCCCCCCTGCAAGGTGGTAGAAGAATTGGAACCTTTTTAAATAAATAAATATATATATATATATATTGTTTTTAGAGCAACATACAGAATTTGAAATAGTATAGCAAGTATAAGACATTGGTGTGTCTGACATCAGGAACATTAAGAAGAAGAAGAAGAGATTGGATTTATACCCCGCCCTTCACTTGGAGTCTCAGAGCGGCTTACAAACTCCTTTCCCTTCCCCTCCCCACAACAGATACCCTGTGAGGTCGGTGGGGCTGAGAGAACTCTGACACAAACTGCTCTTTTTCAAGGACAGCTGTGCCAGAGCTTGTGACTGACCCAAGGTCACATCAGCAGGTGCAAGTGGAAGAGTGGGGAATCAAACCCGGTTCTCCCAGATTAGAGTCCGCGCACTTAACCACTACACCAAACCACTACACTTAACCACTACACCAAACCACTACACCAAACTGGCTCTCATTAACATGAATACATAGAACAAAGTCTTAGAAAAATACTAGGTAGAGCTTACCCAAGATTGTTTTAAGGGAATTGTTATGGTAGCTATTGGGGAAAACCTGAGGGTGCTAGCAGTGAACATCAAGAAAGAAGTTGTTGGTGACGTTGGTAGCAGGCTTATGTATGTATGTTGTGGTTTTTGAGAACCATTGGGTATGTGTGGGCCCCTAGACAATCTAAAACGTATTTTAGAGAGTTAACCATTTGCGATATAGCGAATTGGGAGGGAGTAAATCATGCGTTAACATGAAAGAAAAAATTGGGTACCAAGTTGTCTCAAATTTAGAGTAGTGTGTCGTGCTTGTTTGCGATCTGTGAATTGAATCTGTTATTTGATGGCCTTCTGTTTTTTATACTGTATTACTGCTATGGAAATAAGGAATTTTGCTGTTATGGAATTTCACTGTGACTTTTAATCTGCTTTAAACTGTTATAATACGATTTGGTTTTGTCGTGCACCACCCTGAGGCCCGTTGGGGAATGGGTTGGTATGGAAGCCGAATATAATACATAAATTAATAACCTTCCTCACAGGGTTGTTGTGAGGATAAAATGGAAGAGGGGAGAGCGGTGTTAAGCCACTTTGGGTCCCCATCAGGAAGAAAGGTGGGGTATAAATGAAATAAATCAACGAGGCACAGATCCTTGGGCGCTCCGTGCTCTGTCCTGCTTCAGGAAGGTCTTTGAACTCAAGTTTTGTCAGGCTCTCTTGAGTTTGGGCGCTGTAACAAACTGGGGTTTGCTTTGTTCCCTGTAACTGGGATTCTTAACCAGGACTGGGCTGTGGGTTAGGAACTCTGTGTCAACTGGCTCTCAGTGGGGTCAGAAGGCTGTGAAGTACAGTGGCTGGATCCCATGTATCTGTTTGGATAACGGCAGTGTTTTCCACTGGCAAGAAAAGCTTTCCCCTGCTGTGAGTGGAAAATTTGTACCAGCGAGAGCCAGCGTGGTGTTGTGGTTAAGAGCTGCGGACTCTAATCTGGGGGAACCGGGTTTGATTCTCCACTTTTCCACGTGCAGCCAGCTGGGTGTCCTTGGGTCGGTCACAGTTCTCTCAGGAGCAGTTCTCTCAGAGCTCCCTCGGCCCCACCTCCCTCACAGGGCGTCTGTTGTGGGGAGGGGGAGGGAACGGTCATCGTAAGCCGCTCTGAGACTCCTTTGGGGTAGTGAAAAGCGGGGTATAAAAACCAGCTCCTCTTCTTACTCCACTGCCGTCAGCTGACTGTGGATGCAGGATCTAACCTGTGATGCCCACAGCGATTGTTTGTGACAGCGGGAATTGGTACTTTGCTGTGCTGGTTTAGAACCTGTAGGGAAGGGAGGAGCCTGACTTGGATGGCCCAGGTGAGCCCTATCTCTCCAGATCTCGAAAGCTAAGCAGGGTCGGCCCTGGTTAGGACTTGGATGGGAGACTGCTGAGGAGGTCCAGGGTACCTGCGCAGAGGCAGGCAATGGCAAACCCACCTCTGAACGTCTCTTGCCTTGGAAACCTTATAGGATTGCCACAGGGGTGTAGCCAGAAAATTTGGGGTGGTGTGTTGGGAAACCTGGGGGAGCAGGGGATAGAGAGAGAGAGAGAGATTCCATTGGCAGGCAGCTGAAGAAGAGAAGAGTCTGTCCTTTACCTGCTGGCACAATTCCCACAGCGGGTGTTGTGGGGCAAGGGCCACGAGTGAGGGGGCACCACCCCTAAATGCCCCACTGTGGCTACGGGCCTGGGTTGCCATAAGTCAGTTTGTGACTTATAGAAGAAGAAGAGATTGGATTTATACCCCGCCCTTCACTACCCAAAGATGTCTCAAAGCGGCTTACAAACTCCTTCCCCTTCCCCCTCCCCACAACAGACACCCTGTGAGGTAGGTGGGGCTGAGAGAGCTCCTTCGAGGACTGCTCCTGAGAGAACAGTTCTGAGAGAACTTGTGACTGACCCAAAGTCACACCAGCAGCTGCAAGCAGAGGAGTGGGGAATCAAACCCGGTTCTCCCAGATTAGAGTCCGCGCACTTAGCCACTACACCGAACTGGCTGTTATAGTTATAGTGTTATAACTACAGTGTTATAGTGTTATAGCACTTTCCACCACTACCACCCCACATGGGTGTAGAGGAACTTGGCAACAGTGGGATCAGAAGGCTGTAAAGTGCAGCGGTTGGATCCCGTGTATCTCTTCGACTAATGGCAGTGTTTTCCACTGGCAAGAACAGACTTCCACTGCAGTGTCAGCAGAACATTTCCTCTCTACCCGCTGCTGCCGCCACCACCACCAGGGAAGGGGAGGGCTTTGTTTGCAATCAAACCAGTAGAATCCAAGCTGCTCATGAAGAAGCTCACAGATCCCAAAAGGTGAATGGATTTATTGTGGGCCGGGCCAAAATGCCGCAAAATTCCAAGCCGTCCGGCCCGTGTCCCTTCCTGCAAGGCTCGTTTGTATGATGTTCTGTCACGTCTGAGATGACATGCTTGTTTTTTGCTCTGTGCTGCTTTCCAGATGTTCCTTCCTGACGCAGATGTCGCGGGACTGCTTCAAGGACCTGGGCTGGCTGAGATCCATTTCCAGCATCTCTGGAGAAGCGGCACTCCTGGTGACCGACACGGTGCCGCAGACTCCGTTCTTCTGGGCGATTCACCTCACAGAGGTTGGTGGAGGGCTGGGGGATGTGATCGGAATCCACCTGTTCTTTTCTCCCCTTAATTGCTTGGTTTCCTGCAGCTGCTGGTGTGGCCATGGGTCAGTCATGAGTTCTCTCAGAGCTGTTGTCTCAAGGGCAGTCCTCAAAAGAGCTCTCTCAGCCCCACCTACCTCACAGGGTGTCTGTTGTGGGGAGGGGAAGGGAAAGGAGATTGTAAGCCGCTCTGGGACTCCTTCGGGTAGTGAAGGGCAGGGTAGAAAAACCTATTCTTCTTCTTCTTCACATAAACTCATTCTGCTTCTCCTGCCTTCTGCAGCAGGGCTACAGAATGAGAGGGTTTCTAAGCATGTTCAGAGTGCTTTTGATTATCTCTTTAAAAATTTTCTTTATTATTATTATTGTTAAAATACCATAACAATTAGAATTACAATAGTTCTCAGGTAGAATAGTTAATCAGAAGTTGAGAGGGTTAACAGAGATCGTCTTGTATTATTACCAACAATATACAAATCATATCAAATGCATTATCTTTGCAAAAAAAAATTAAATTAAAAAATTCATTATCTTTGCAATTTCTGGATTTTCTCCTTGTACTCTTAGATATTCTAAAATAGGATTCCAAATGGCTATAAAAGTAGGGTTTATTTGTTCATCTGGTTTGCATGCCACTTTTGATTATCTGTAAAAACTGACACGCAGACCACAGGCACCCTCCTGTACACTGTGGAATCAAGATTTGTTACGTATGCAAGATGTAACTCTAATCTGGAGAACCAGCTGGGTGACCTTGGGTCAGTTACAAGTTCTTTCAGAGCTGTTCTACCTCACAGGGTGTCCTGCTGTGGGGAGGGGAAGGGAAAGGAGATTGCAAGCCGCTCTGAGACTCCTTCGGGTAGTGAAGGGCGGGGTATAAATCCAATCTCCTCCTCCTCTTCTTCTTCTTCTTCCTCACCCCTGCTGTAGTTTGGGCTCCTTCAAGGCGCAGGGCGGTGAAGCTCAGCAGGCAGTTTTATCGCAGCCACCATCTGTCTGCAGGTCCACTCTAGGGACAAACGCTTGTACAGAGGAGGTCAGAATAGAAGCGAAGGTGAACTGCAGGGGTCTTCAGGCCGTAGGTTGCAGAGGCGCTCTGCCTGGTCTCCATGTGGCAGGAAGCCAAGGCAGGAAGGAGGGATCGTTGAGGGAAAACCCAAGCGAAGCCCCCAGAAACTCTTCACCCTCTGTCAGAAGACAGTGATAGAGGGGGGCGGACGAATATCCCTGGGAAAGGAGAACCATAATGTCGTGGCCGCCACCAAAAAGGCCCTCACTTGGGTTACCACCCGTTCAACCGCAGAAGGCAGCGCGCCCAAAGCACGCATTCGGGAGGAATGGCCGTAATTGACCCTCATAAATAATATCCAATCGACAAGGCAGAAACGATTGCAGAACATTATGTGCTGAAACTGGAATGGGATGCTATCGTCTGTTCCTCCGCCATTCCACCGAGTCGTGTTAAAAGCCGCAAAGCCATTTTGGTTTCTTTAATGTGAGCCTCTGATCAGTCTCCCTTTTCAGCTTTTCTTCTCCCCTATTGTCTGTCTCTTGAATTTCTTTGACTTGGGAGCATTCTTTCATCTCCGGGGCTTTGGTTCTGGTAACATGTTTGGATCTCTCCTAGGCTTGGTTTGGAAATAAAGGGATTCCTCGGTTTAATGAAACCAGCTGTGGGTTTGTGTGACCCATCTGAGCTTGGGTTGCCAACAGCCAGGTGGGGCCTGGAGATTTCCTGGAATTTCAGCTGATCTCCAGACTTACAGAGATCAATTCCCCTGGAGAAACTGGCAACTTTGTAAGGGTGTCAAACATGGCAGGGCCCCGGGGCCCAGATGAGGGGTGTCAAACATGTGGCCCCGGGGGCCAGATGAGGCCCCCCCTCCGGAGGGCTTCTATCAGGCCCGCAGTGGAACTGGCTGTCTTCTGCTACTTCTTCCAGTTCTGCTGCTGCTGCTGCGTTGTCGTAGGTTTGCAGCTGACAGATACACACCTGAACAGCCATACTCAAGATCACAACAGCACAGACATTTCTGATGCAATATTTCAGAGCAAGAGGTGTCAGTTATCAGACCCTGTTAAATAAACACAGGCCCCGGGCACACGGGCTGGAAAATGCGGGGGGGAAGCGTGGATGTTTGCCCCGGGGCAAACTAACGCGCGACTGCAAGATCAGACATCCTGTTGAGGTCCCATGGCTAGGGGGGAGGTGCCGATCACACCACAGGCAAAGAAGCGGGGCGGCGCGGCAAATGGGGTTGTTGGGGTTTGTTTGTTTTTTTAACTTTTTTAAACTGAAGTGTGCGCATGCTCCATTGGGTGCTTGCGCGCATCCGTGGAGCCTTGGGGAAAAAAATGACCTGTTTGTGAGGGGACATGGGTGGGCGCCGGATGCCACCAGAAACGTGATCAGACGCCCGCCCTTGCCCCGCGGTTTCCGGAAACTAGTACCTCCGAGGTACTAGTTTTTTGACGCGCATCTTCGGAAGGAAGCCTCAGTTGAGCCACGGGAGCTCTATGCTTCCCAGATGTGGCGGTGAGATCGCGCCCGGAAAATCCGCCTATCTTCCGTCTCTCTAGCGTGCTGTTCTGTGTGACTGCAGCCACAGTATTGCAAGAGTGCTAATGTTTTAAGAAAAACACCCTTTGTGTTTGTGTCCTTTGTAAAGTTTATATCTCCGCTACCTGGCATTACACGTTGTGACACACATGTCCCGGCCCAACAAGGTCTCATTTATGTCAGACCTGGCCCTCGTAACGAATGGGTTTGACACCCCTGCTCTATGGCATTACACCCCCTCTGAGGTCCGGCCCCTCCCCAGACCCTGCCTCCCGGTACTCCACCCCCAGATCTTCAGGAGTTCCCCAGATCAGTTCCCCTGGAGAAACTGGCAGAAGCTCCCTTTGGAGGGCGGCCTCTTTGGATTATACCCCTCTGAGGTTCAACCCTGCCCTCCCCAGGCTCCACCGCCAGATCTCCAGGAGTTTCCCAACCTGGAGTTGGCCACCTTATCTGAGCACAGGCTGCCCCGCTAACCGATGAAAGGCCTGTCAAACCAGGATCTGAAACTAGAGTTTGATTCATTGAGCGCAGCTAGCCTTAACTGTGGTTTTGTGTGCTGTGTGAACACAGGGGATCCTAGACTTTCTGTGGTCATGCGTTCACGTGAACCCTGGTTACAGAGAGATATGTATTGAAGAAGAAAAACAAGCCCATCACCAAGAAGAAGGAAGGCAAAAGGCCAACGGTGCAACACAAGAGAGCAGATATTTATTGATCTAATAATCTCAGTGCCTTTTGCATTAGCTTCATCAGAGGATCTAGCAGAATTAGGGGTTATCAATTCAATAAATACCTCCTCTTTTATTGCACTGTCGGCTTTTCGCCTACTTTTCCCTGAGATGTCTAACCGGAGTGAAAGTGACTGACTGCAGACCGAACACTGGTTTCAATAACCGAAGCATAGTTGAAAATAAGCCCATGGTTTTGTTTTTCACCTGAACCGAGCCTTGTACGCAATTCGAGCAACATGGGATCTTCTTCGTGGTCTCTGTGCATCACACCCTTGGGATACACTGCGCCTGCGCTGAACCTTCTCGGTACCGATAGCTAGCAAAAAGGGATTTTCGCGCCTCTCCCAGGTCACGCGCCGACTCCACTGCGCATGACCAAGGAGGGGCACGCAGATCCCGCCAGTTCTCTTCTGACCGCCGCGCTGGTAGGACGCCTTCTGCCTCGGTCTGCTAAGTACCAAACTTTTTTTGCTAAACTTGCGTTTAGTTAGTTTCTCTTTCTTTATTTTTGTAGTTAGCATTTTTCTTTCGGTGTTTGTTCTTTACTTACGTTCCCCTCCCGCTGGCCTATGGCCCCGCGGTGGGGTTGTTTCAAACGGTGTAGGACTTGCGGCCTTAAAATATCCCCCACCGACGGGCACTCGCTTTGCCTCGTTTGCTTAGGGGAGTCGCACTGTGTCTCTAAGTGCAGACATTGCCGAAAGTTTTCGAATCAGACGAGAAAAAACAGGGCAGCTCGTCTACACTTGGCCCTGATGGAGAAGGCACTATCTCCACAGTCCTCTTCACCGTTGGACACGTCCGGGCACGCCTCGATGTCCACCTTGGCTGCGGACACTTGTCCTCCCGTTCCGGGATCATCGACGTCAACGATCGCAATCGATGCTTCGGCACCGAAACGATCGACGCCGATAAAGGACCACCCCGTACCTTCCAAGATCCGGAAGCAGGGCAAAGACTCACAGCAGTCGAAGAAACCTAAAACGGACAAACCCAAAGTCCATAAGGTTTCGGCTAGTCAGGGTCGAGATCCCACGCAAGAACCTCACCCGATCGGTTCGGATCTCGACATCGACCTTACTCAACAAACAAATCAGTCGCAATCTGATATGTCGAGCCGTCAATCCTCTCATGCCTCCCCAGAACGTGGAGTCGAGGATCGGCACCGACCAACATCTCCTCCCCTAACTTGGGATGAGAGGCAATGGCATTATTTGTACGGGAATCGATACCCATACCCTTGGGCACTCCCGATACCACCCCCACCTGAATGGGATCGTCAGTCGGTGTCATCCCGCATTTCGCGCTTTCAAGATCGACCATCGGTATCGAAGCAGTCGATACCGACGCATCCACCAGACCCGGTTGTGCCCCCGATTAACACACCGGCACCGTCTCAACCTGAATTACTCGAATCATCTCCAGAACCATCCAATGTATCCTCCGATTCAGATGGCTTTTCTGAACATATCGAGGATGTAGATGCACAGCCCACCTCGCAAGATGTGGAAGCGGATTTACCTATTTCTCCATCAGAGGATGTTAAGTCTTATGGAGATTTTATTCAACGCATGGCATTAGATCTATCTATGACTCCTACTCTCGTTGCCAGTTTTGTGGATGATAACGTTTTTGACATTATGCACTCTAACACTTCGCCCTCCGTGGCTCTACCAATGACAAAAGTTCTCTTGCAAACTACCAAGGACTTTTGGACTCGTCCAGCCTCCATTAATGTCTCTAATAAGCGTCTGGATCACATGTACAAGGTCCAGGAATCAGGGGCTGAGTTTTTATACACACACCCAAAGCCCAATTCTTTGGTCGTCTCCTCATCCACAAAAGGAAAAGCGAGTCACTCTACTCCATCAGACAAAGAAGGAAAAAAGTTGGATTCGGTTGGTAGAAAATTCTACACTGTCGGTGCAATGGGCATTAAAACGGCGAACTATGCCGCCTGCATGGGCCGTTATCAATTCAATTTATGGAAGCGTTTGAATGATTTCCTCCCGCACGTGCCCAAAGAGTGCCAACCTCAGATTAAAAGGATTCAGAATGAAGGGATGGTCTTGGCTAGACACCAAATTAGTGCTGCCAAGCATTCCCTGGAATCCGCTAGTAAGACTCTAGCAACCTCTGTAGCGTTACGCAGACATGCCTGGCTCCGCTCTTCATCATTGCCATATGACACCAGATCCTCGGTGGAAGACCTTCCCTTTGAAGGTTCTGGATTGTTTAGCTCCACCACTGACACGGTTCTGCAGGAAATGGATAAGAGTATCAAGACGTCCAAGAGTTTGGGGATCTCCCCCACGACCAAATACTCGAAATCCAAGCAGTGGCCTAGGCAACCTTGGTCGACCAGGCAACCGTACAACAAATCACCTACGGATCAATGGCAAAGACCTCCCTCCTCTCAGTCACGGTCTTTTCCCCCGAAAAATAAGGGACAATCGTCCGGTGCCTATAAGTCGAAATTCCCTAAGAATCCCAAACAGGGACTTTGACTTCAACCTTACTGCTCAGACTCGCCTTGCACCCTTCCTGCACGCATGGCTCGCCATTTCTACGGACAAATGGGTGCACTCTATAATAAGAGATGGCTATCTCATAGAGTTTTCTCTGACTCCCAGAATCTCCCGTTTCATCAGAACCCCGGCGTCTCCTGCCCTGCTACAGGAGGTACAATCGCTGACACAAAAAAACGCTATAGAGAAAGTCCCGATGGCGGATTGTTGCCGCGGGATTTATTCCAAATATTTCACAGTCCCCAAGAAGGACGGAGGACTTCGTCCAATCATGGACCTCCGTTTTCTCAATCGGTTCATCATTTACAGAAAGTTTCGCATGACCACGTTGCAAAGCATTTTACCACTCCTGTCTCCAGGGACTTGGATGGTCACTTTAGATCTCAAAGACGCTTATTTTCACGTCTCCATCCATCCTCGTCACAGAAAGTTCCTCAGATTCGCAGTCGGGGAGGACCATTACCAATTCAAAGCCCTTCCATTCGGGCTCTCTACCGCCCCCAGGGTTTTTACGAAGGTAATGGTGGTTGTCGTCGCTCATCTTCGCCTTCAGGGCATTCAGATCTTTCCGTATATAGACGACTGGTTGATGGTGGCAGATTCAAGAGAATGTCTCCTTCAGCACATCACCATCACATTGTCGGTCCTATCCTCCCTTGGAATTCTGGTGAATTTACAGAAATCCATGCTGCAACCTGCAACTCGCGTGCAGTTCATAGGAGCTGTCATAGACTCCCTAGCCACTCGGGCGTACCTTCCTCGCCAACGGGCAGATACCATTCGTCTGGAAATTCAACGTTTGTTCCAGTCCAACGTGACATCAGCGGTCCACATTCAGCGGACCTTGGGTCTCATGGCAGCCACCACTTCCGTGATCGAATATGCACGCCTTCGCATGCGCCCGTTGCAGCTGTGGTTTCTAAAGAAATTTCGCCCTTCCATCCATCCTCCGAGCCTTCAACTGGTAGTGCCTCCGCAGGTCCTCGTCTCCCTGCAGTGGTGGCTCGTGGACACCAATCTGTTGGCGGGTGCACCGTTCCAACCGATCGTTCCCGTAATGTCCATCACCACAGATGCCTCCCTGTGGGGTTGGGGTGCTCATACAGACGACACTTGTGTGGGTGCTCCATGGCAACCCCTTTGGAAGAGTCATCATATCAACTATCTGGAACTGCTGGCCGTAAA